CTACGAGTTATTAGGGTTAGCGTTTGCAGGACCAAAATGCAACTCCAAACGGAACTTCGAACCAGCTATTGATTTGCCCTTGTTTCCAACTTTATCTAATTCCCTTATCGGAAACTGAAAAAAATAAAAAAATAAAAAACCCTAAATTAAAAGTTCATCATAGAGTTACATCCAACATTTGAACCTAACAAGATCGATTGAAATACCTGTATCGAGTCATTTTCGATAAACGCAGTGTTGAAGCAAGCATAGAAGAGACGACCCCCAATGTTCTTCTCATAGAACGTCACACACACATCTCCGGTAACCTGTCCAACCATTATATGTAAAACATTAATGAGTTTACAAAAAACCTAGATTTTCAGAAATGGTGGAGGTTTACAGGGATCAGTAATCACACCTTTACTGTATTTCCACCAAAGTAGTGGTCAAGGCAGTTTTGCGCCTCTTCTTCCTCGATCTCTGAATTCCCAAAACTCGTGTTCCTAACTTTCCTACAGAAATTCCGGCAAACATCTGCCGGTGAACGAAACGTTCACCAGTAACTTCTTGCATTTGTGAAACAATAAAGAAGACCGATTCTATGGTTTTAGCGTCGTAAAGCCGAATCCGTTGAAGCTCTTTGCTACATGGTTTTGGAAGGTTGACCTGAGGTGAGCAACCCTTAGTAAAAGTAACAGATTTCTGCCAATAGTTAACGTAACGTCGTTGGCTTGGCAGCATCACCTGCCACCATTTCCATATTTAATTTGTTTACACTTGTAGTTGAACATTTTCATCATCGTAAATAGAAGAAAAAATTAAAGTAAAACTTACTGTAAGATAATTTGTGGACCCTCTATCTGGATAATCACAAAGAGCCTCTTTTGCTAACATGCCGGTGTAAACCAAGTAAGAAGATACCATCAACCCAATCCGACCTTTACCCGCCTGTTGAATTTTCAAAAATAGTTTACGTTTTATACGAATAACTAATTTACATGAGTATAAAGAATTTTCAAAAATTACCGAATTTAAAAGTTTACCATGCAGTGAATGAAGACAATATTCTTTGGGTCGTTTGAAAGCCATGTATGGACACTTTCACAGAATTCCTTGACCATTTGGAGGGATGGGGCATGATTATCATCAAATGGAAATCTTTCGACAAGATTGTTAAAATGAGATGGATCATAAGTTTGCTCTGTGCATAAGTTATAGACCTACAAGTTAGAAAAATATAAAATATGAGAAAGAGTAATTGAATTTCTTGTAGTGCTTTATAAATTGGTAAAAACGTTGTAAAGTCGTTACTTAACATAAACACTATCTAAATCCAAAAAATACACATAGGAGTATAATCCGTTTTCATTTGTAGAATTTTTAATTAGACAACTTTTTTAAGAATTTCATGATATAAAATTCTAATCTTCTTTCAAAATCAGCGTGCACATTTTTTTTTGTAACGTTTTGTTTAATTTTAAGTTTTGTAAATAATAAAATTTATAATTATTATTAAAAAATATATAAAATAATGTATACATCGCATTATGATATAACATAAAAAAAATGCTTCTCAAATTTTCATTCGATTAATACAACGAGAATAATATAACAACGGATTCTGATACCTTGTAGTGTCGAGGATGTCTTTTTTCCAAAACGGCCTTGACTTGTATCAAGGCATTTTGATACATGGCTCTAGTTAGCTCTAGAGGAAACAACGTTGCTAATATACGATTCGTGATGTAAGACATATTTGAGCTCCCAACCACCACCACGAACCACCACCTGCCTTTTCTTTTGAGACACCAAACCTCTTGGTAGGAGTCTTGAAGCTTTCAACCCCATTTTATGTTGGTAAAAAAATTCTAAACTATCTGCAAAAATCAGAATATGTTAGCTAAAAATCAAAATATTACAAAATCAACCCTAGCCTACACATTATTTGATACATAAAATACTTCGCAATTGAAGCTTCTATTACGTTGCATGTATAATTAATAATATATAGATATTTTGCTCTTAAGATATTTTATCCTACATTCATAATTCTTAAAAGAACGTAAACCTTGAAGATTCAAAGGCGAATATTACCTGTAACTGATAGTGAAACAAGACCTTAATTTTCTTGTTTCCTCTTCGTGCTTCTGAGTCTTGTGAAGGAGTACGATACGGCTATTTAAGATTCTTGGTAACTTGGTATATATATATAAGATTAGGGATTCATATTTAATTATCTCTATGTATGTATATCTTTATCTCCTATATTTCCTATATGTGAATTAATCTGTCATCGTTTATCACAAATTCACAATTCAACACTTACCATACAAGGAAATATTGACATGTTACAATTAGAGTACAAATCGAATTCATATATTCTTTTCTTTCGCTTGTTTATAATTTGCAATTTGGCACCCCATCTTTATTTACTCTTCCAAGTTTAGCCCTCACCTATTGTAACACATCTAATTCCTTGTATTCATAATTCTTCTTCCGTTTGTTAAGAATTTTCACTTTGGCGCCCCACCTTTATTTCCTCTTCCAAGTTTAGCCCTCAACTATTGTAATTTACATCTAGTTCCATGGGTGTTACGACTAGAGATGCACCAAACTTAAAACTACATATTACAGTTAGAGTACAAATCGATTTCCTATTTTCTCTTCTTTCTTTCTCTTTTTTTTTTTTTTTTTTTTTTTTTTTTTTTTTTTTTTTAATTTTCACTTTGGTGCCCCACCTACATTTCATTTTCCAAGTTTAGCCCTCAATTATTTTAATTTACATTTATTTCTATATACTTTTTTTGGTGCCACGATTAGAGATGCACAAATTCACTTGCGCCTAACTTAAACAATGTAACTAGTTGTGTGGAAGGACAAGTGCTTAGGATGACTTACATGGGTGCAAGAGTGGGCGTTGGCCCACCTTAATAAAAATTTGAGTTGCAATATATTATATATAAATTTCATATTTCTTTTGAATAAAAAATGTTAATGCTGTTAATTGTAATATGATTCATTCCATTTTAATCTTAAATTCATAATGAATGAAATAATTTATATATTGATACATATGGATTAAAGAATTAAGGCAACAATTATTTGAATAAATCAAATTGTATTTCAATCTCCACAATGAATTCCTCGTTTATTAGGTTTGTATATTAATACTTTTTTATTATCTTAATTAATCAGTTACTTCCAACTTAAACGAACAATTTACTTGAGAATAATATATTGTTACATTTTGTTACCATTTTCAGTATTTTGCTAATTATTCATATTTTGTAAATTATTTTGTAACATCCTGTTTAATTAATAAATAAACAAATAAATTAATAAATGTAACTCCCAGACTAAATTGTGAAGAATTTTGATAGTTGAGGGTTGTTTAGTAAATTACGGAGTTGATTGAGAAGAATCTTAGAGGCGTGGGTATGTTTGGTAATTTTTAGGACTTATTATGAAAGAGAATTATGGAATCAAGGGCAAAAGAATAAATATTGGATTTAATTTGTAAAGGATTTCAAAGTCAGGGGCTAAAGGGGTAAATTCTAGAGTTAGATTGAAAAGATTATGGGAGGAGGGACTAGTATTGGCATAATGATCGAATGTTTGGATAGGACACGGGTTAAGACCCGTTGTTCATTCTTTCCCGCTTCATGAAGAGAAGCCGAGTAACCCTAACCCTAATTTATGCTCAGCCGTCACTTTTTTTTTCCTCCATTGTCTAGCCGCCACCACCATGTGTTACACTTTCAGCCGCCACCTTCTTCTTGTTCTTCCGACCAGTCAAGAGCATCGCATGTTGCCTCACCGACGAGTACCACCACATAGCTGCCACCGGAGACGTTAGGAAGTCGAAGGAGCCACCGAGACCCACGAAGGAGGCGGTGAACGCCGCTATTAAGTATGAATGGCTTGAAACTCACGATTAGTCCACCGTAAACCACATATTTGTTCGTTTCTCTTTGTTCTTTCTGTGATTTGGAGTAGTTTTCGTCGATAGGGGTTGCTGGTGGCTTTGGATCACCGTTTTTGTGTTTCCGATCGGCACCTACCACTGTAGTGGCTGGTTGGGAGTAATTCGGTGTCCAACTCTTGTTTACGAGTGTGTGTGTGTATGTTTTCTCGGCTGGGGACAAAGAAAAACCACGGCTACTACCGTGAGGTGGTGGCTATCGTCACAATCGCTGTTGTGACTGCCGTTTTGGTGCTGTTGTCGGCGCCATGAGTCGCCATGCGGGTGGCTGAAGTGTTTAGTGCAACATGAAGTGTGTGAATGTGTGTTTGGTGTAGCTAGAAGACCGAGAACCACCACTGCCACCACCGTGAGATGGTGGCTGCTGCCATTCGCCATCGTCGGCCACCACGGGGTAGCTGTTCGTGCATTTTATTTTGTTTTATGTTATTTTGAGCTAAGCATTGTAAAATTGTAATAGTGGCTAGAATAATGAAATGAAAACTCAAAACCACCACCTTAGGGTAGTGGCTACCGCCACCGGTCGCCGTGTCGGTGGCGGTTTGCTTAGTTGTGTTGGGATTGCTTTTTAGATGTTTGGACAATGGACTAAAACCCTAATGGGCCTATGATACCTTAATGGGCCCAGGGAAGCCCTAATGGACCCAAAAGCCTAAACATGTGACTAATGGGTGTAATAAACCCTAATTGATCTAAGGAAAACCCTAATGGGTTTAAGGACTTGGTTTTGGGCCTATTGGGCTAAGATGGGATTGGAAACCCTAATATTAGATTTATGGGCCTGGACTTATCAGGACCCATATTTGAGCCATTAGAATGGAATTCTGTATTAAGCCCAATCACACCATGAGTTATTTAGAAGAGTGATGGACTTAATAGATTAAGTCCTTAATTGGTTAAGTGAGAAACACTTAACCCTAATCATCATTTTATGAGAAACCCTAATTTCACTTGGGTTATTGTTGGGCCTTTCTATTGAGCCTTGATGATTGGATTATTAATGGGTCATCCAAGATCAAGCAAATGGACTAGGATAATTAATGGGATTTAGGGTAAGGCCCATATGAAGGATTGGGCCCAATTTGGAAAATTAGGCCATAATTTGGACCTAGATGGTTGTATGATATTGGGCCCTTAAAATGAGACATGTTGGACTTGACTGAACAATTGGGCCTTAAGGGAAGTCCATGTAGAGGTTGGTCCAAATTTGGAAAATTGCGCCATAGTTGGGCCTTGGTCCATTATTAGACTTTTGGGCCTTTGGATTGGGCATTGGATTTGAGTCAAGCTAAGATAGGGGTAAAGTAGTCTTTTACCTAAGTATGGACTTATGGTTTTGAGTTGGAACCCAATTATTAATTAAGTCTTATTTTGATAGTGACAGATCGGGAATCTGTCATCGAGCAGCTTTGGTTTGTCAGCAGGACTTCAGCAGTGTGAGGTGAGTCCTCTTCCAATAAGAACGGGTCTAAGGCACCAAGGCTAGCCCGTATATGAGATATGTTAGTAGTTGAGTGTGGGCAGGACACGTATCTCATTATTATCTAAGTATAGATATCAGTCAGATTATTGGATCGCTATACTTGTTGTCTATGTGATGCTTGTATATGTTGTTAGGAATGCGAGTGTGGGCGTGGCCAGTATCTCATAGTAGCTGAGTGTGGGCGTGGCGCGTATCTCATAGATAGCAAATATGATACATATTTATATGCTAGTGATACTTGTTGTTTGTTTAGAGCTTGCATGTTTTGGTTTTGTAGCTGAGTGTGGGCAAGGCCCGTATCTCATAGCAGTCGAGTGTGGGTGGGGCCTGTATATCATAGTAGCCGAGTGTGGGTGGGGCCCATATCTAAAAGTAGCTGAGTGTGGGCAAGGCTCGTATCTCAGAGATAGTGGAGTGTGGGCGGGGCCTGTATCTCCTAGTTAGTGGAGTGTGGGTGGGGCCCGTATCTCCTAGTTGCATGTTTGTTGATGTAAATTGTAAAAAGTTGAATATAGTGTATTGTGTTGTTTCGCATTTTATGTTATTTTACTAAGTCATTTTTTGTGCGAAGTGAAAATGTATAGACTTAGTATATTTTTTGTTTGTTCCCTATAAATAGGGACTTAGGCTAGAAGTAGAGTACACGAATGCAAAAACTCTCTTCTGCTTATTCTGTAATCAGTCTTAATCAATATGATATCTAATTAATATTTACTCTTTGTGTTCTTCATCTTTAATCATTCAAATCTATCTTTTCTTTTCTAAATTCTCGATAACAATTCTCATCAATTGGTATCAGAGCAGGATTCAAACTGCTTAGATCTGATTTTCGTATAAGAATCATTTGCTTTTTGAGTTACAAATTTACTCAAAATTTTCCGCGCATTTTTGGTTTTGAAAATCACTATTGATCTTCAGATTTGAATTGATTCTGTATTTGAATTTTAAGTCGAGTAATCGATTAGTGATTTGTGATCAATTCATTTGATAAAATTCTGAAATTCATCAAGTTTTCAAGTTTTCGGATTTTTCTGTGTTCATCAATGGCGAACTTCAACATGAATACAATGACTTCTTTCTCTCACTTGCTTGGTTCCTCAACCAAAATTCCGATGTTAATTCCAGAATACTATGATCAGTGGGCTGATAGAATGGAAGATTACTTAAATGGAATTGATGAAGAACTTTGGAAGTGTATCGATGGAACAGTACAAGCTCCTGCTAATGTTCAACCAATTGGATCATCCACTGCATCTACTGATGTTGAAGAACAACGAAATCGACTGAAG